CCTGGGCAGGACAGGAACAGTGGGCAGGGCTGCAGCACTGATTCCAGGCCAGTGCTGCCCCCTCCTCCACAGCAGCACCCCAATTCCCCCCAGCAATCCCAGCCCCAGCCCAGCCCAGTCCCCACACCCAGACGGGGCTGGCACTGGGCAGTGAACCCGAGCACTGCCAGACCCTCACCTGCTCTGACTGTGGTTCCAGTGGTGGCTTTTTTAGCTCTCTTTCTCAATCCTAAGAAAGAAAATAGCAGGAGGGCAGAAATGTGGGCAGTAGAGCTCTTCCCAGGCTGAGCCCAGTTTCCTGTACCAGGCAGGGCAGGGGGTTGGAGCAGCAGCTCCCCCAGGCCCCCCTGCATTCAGCTCACCCCGGCCCCTGCACATCCCACAGCCCACAGACACCCTGCCCTGCCCTGACCTGACCTGCCCAATGCAACCCACTGACCCAGAACAGCACAGGACACACAGCCCGTGTCAGCCCCGTGTGTCACCTGTCACCAGCACAAGGTGAATCAAACACAGTTTAGAACAAACTCAGCCACCACCTTGCCAGCCCCTCGCTGTGCTCCAGCACATCCCCAGCTCTCAAGAGGGCAGCTGAGTCACTGGGGATCTGTGGGGGCTTCCCAGCACCTGCCAGGCTGCCTGGGAGAGACCTCAGGATGAGGCACCTGCCTGGATTCTCTTGGGTTTGTTACCTGGAATATTGTTATCCTCACCTTTGCCGCCTGGACTTGTCTTCTCAGGTTCCTCAAATGCAATTGGCACCGACTCCAATCTGTAATATTCATTTTCCTCCTCAAAATTCTTTTGTGGAGATACTTCCTCATCTTCCCTTGTTTCCACCTGGGTTTTCAGGACTGTATTTGCCATCTTGGCACCGTTTGCTGCACCGAGTGACACCAGGGTAGCTGTCAGCCCGATTTTGGCATTAAGAGAGAAACCTGCAGTTCCAGGCCAGTGCTGCCCCTCACTCACACAAACATTCTGAGTCTCCCCAGCCCCAGCACTCACAGCCCCCGGCCTGGCCAGGTCCCCCAGAAGCAGACAGGGCTGGGTGCAGGCAGTGAACCCGAGTGCCAGACCCTCACCTGCTCCGATCGGGCTCCGTTACCTCTGTGTCTCACTGCGAAGAGTGAAACTGAAACGGCAGGAGGGCAGGCAGGAAAA